TTAACAAGACTAAAAAACATTCAAAGAAGTATATTTAATTCTCTGATTTATAGTTTAAGAAACGTTTGAAAATATTCAATGTCACCAAGAATGCTCTATGGAATTCAATTTGAATATAATATCGTATCCGCTTTCAACACAGTGCTATGTTACTTCGCCTCCGTTATCATCTAAATCCAAATGCAATGCAGTGCAGTTCTGTATATTTATATAGGGTGATGTATGCAAATTAGGCTTCCAGTGTGGCTTAAGCAATGGCCTTTATTTTGATTGGTTGGACCTAAGCAAACTTCCCGCTTACGAACCATACACTAGGCTGCAATAATTGGCTAGTGGTATTTGTAACGACAGACTTTCAGTACAAACGCCTTGAATGATATTTGCTACACTAGAATGTACTGTACAGTACTAAACTAATTCCTCCATGGTATATTAAAGAATCGTGAGGAAACAATTCCACACTGACGCCTACAAAAACAATATCTCAACAGTGCTATGATATATATTTTATTTTTATTTATTTTATTTTAACTGTCATATCTTTCGGACCACTTTCAATTGATTTTGAGCGAATTTGCTCTCTTTGGAGGCTCCACCATCCACCCTCTATTTCAGATGCGTGTATTCGCAATGTAAATTAATAGGCCCCTACCTTAATTATTCAAATAACAATAATAAATTATTATTATTATTATTATTATTATTATTATTATTATTATTATTATTATTCATTATTATTATAAATCGTCGTCGTCACATTTTCAATGCACAGTCGGAAAAGTAAATTGACTTGTGATTTTTTCAACGTAAATTAGCTTTTACATATTGTTTATGCTGCTGTGAAGTTAAGTTAAACATAAGGTACATGCTCAAATGTATAAACTTTAGTTACTTTATTTTTTTATGAATACATAGACATATTTAATAACTGTTTACGCCTTGGTAAGATAAATGAAGATACCAATGGGAGTTTCATCATTATTAATGGCAATATGAATTTTCTTAATGAGATCGAGTACAGCCTGTCTCTTATTGGATAAAGTCTTGTAATTTTAGTTAAGTTGGGATACATCAGTGGAGTGAGACAGATTAAACATATGACAGATGAAAGAAGCAATAGTATTTTCATTTTAGATACAATTTAGATTATTTTTTTCTCTTCAGTAGGTAGAAGAAAAAGTGAATTAACATCGTTTCCATTTAAATAATCATTACATTTAGCATTACTTTTACAATTACAATCAATTCTTTCTTCAGCGAGTTTGACACCAATTGTACTAAAGTGGTTGTTGAATGCATCAGCGATATTAGGGGTGTGGGCACTGTTGTCAGTATCCGGGAGAACAACTTTAGTTTTGGTTTTACCAAGTATCTTATTTATAATAATCCAGGTTTTCCTTGAGTCGTGACGGGAGTTGTATAAGCATGGACCTATTAATAATCTTATTAATAGGTCCATGCAGTATCCATGGAGGTGTCTTTTTCATATTTTGTTTTCCCACTCTGGGCATGTATCTACTCTGATTGGCTGAAAATGGAAGAGCACTCGTACGTCACGATGCAAAGCCTGGCTGCGAACAGGCGATAACAAGGACAATCTTCGCACTGCTGTTGTAGCAGGGAAGAGAATTAGGTCAGCGTCGTAGTCTTTGCGGACGCGATTTGAAGCATTAACAAGACTAAAAAACATTCCAAATCATATATTTTAAGCTTATTTTCACGGTTTTTGTTCCAAATACAAGTTCACCTCATTAATAACGATCGGTCGTTAGTTTAAAACAAAGGAAATAATTATGCACTGTACTATAAGGGCCATTAAAGGAGAGTGGAACTTAATTTATCGACAAACACAAAATTTTCGCTTAAACGAGAATTTAGGTCTGGTACCTAATTTCTCGGTGGTAAATTTTCGTGACACAGGCCGCAACACATGGTCGATCCGCTCGATTTGGCCCCGGGTGGATCTGCTCGAGTCGGCTCGGCCTAGCCAAACGACTCGGTCTGTTTAATTTGAGTTTATTCGGAAAATCATCGCACAAACAATTACATTGAACCATTGGTAAAGTAAAGAAAATAATAGGCTTTTAATGAATAACAAAATAGAAAGTGTATTTAGATTTTCCAGGATAAACTGGTTGAACTTAATCCTAACAAGGCTGGTCACCCCGATCAACCTCTTATTAGATTACAGTATATAACGAATAGGCTGCTGAGCTTGCTTTGTCTATTACTAATATATTTAATTTGTCATTAAAGAAAGGAATTTTCCGAATCTTTGGAAAAAGGTCACAGCTGTACCCATAGGCCTATCCTAAAATTAAGAATTTTAAATATGTTGCGGACAGTGGCGGCGCCAACTGAGGGGGGTAGGGGCTTACGTCCCCACCGGACAGGTCAAGTCCCCCCCCCCGTCGGGCAGTCAGACCATAAAACATATAAAAATAGGCCCACACCAAGCCAACACATCTGTCACAGTTTGAGAGTGCCAATTTCGGCCATCCAGAGGTTGATACTTTTTTTTTTAAATCTCATTTTGGTCCCCCTGTCGGACAACTTAGCTGCTCCCCCCCCCAGAAAATATATCCTAGAGCCGCCACTGGTTGCGGACCGTAGGCCCATTTCTATAACTTGCATTCTATCCAGAGGTTTTGAATCCTTGTTGGTAATTGGATTTTTGATGACATTAGCGATAAACTTTATGCCAGACAATTTGGCAGTAGAAAATTAATGTTCACTATTTAGTCAGTCTGTTTGACTCTATTTTAAAGGATGTAGGAAAGATGGGAGTTATGTCAACTTGTGTGCCATTGACTTTACCAAGGGGTTTGATCGTTTCGATCACAATGTTGTAGTTAGAAAGTAAATAGATCTTGGGGTAAGATCGTCCATAATTCCCATCATCTGCAGCTTACTTACGGGGCGTTTTTCTAACACAAGTCTGCAGGGATCAAGTCACCGTACATGTCACTGTCATATACAGTCTAATTCAAATTTCAGTATTGTTAAAACCAACAAACCGTTTGATAAACCCTAAAATTTTCATTGATTTCATAAATACATTTCTAACATCGGTTGACCATGTTAGGTCACCTGAAATGTCAATACCAAGACATCTGTGTGATCTAACAACTTCAAGGGGATTAGTGTCAATTGTATAAGTAATATGAGGTATATAATCAAATTTCCTAGTTATGTGCATGACTTCATATGGTTTTCGTCACACCATTTGGAAATACAATGGAGGTCAAGGGCATCACGAGGACTTTATACTGGTCTATAAATCACTGTATCATCAGCATACTGCTTCATATGAGAAGTAGTATAAAAAAGCAAGTCGAAAACAAAGATATTAAATAAAAGTTGACCCAGGACTGACCATTGTGGAACGCCCGAGCCTAATCTGTTAATGAGGAATTAGTAAACGCATTTCAGCAGAGGTCCACATACTCCCATACTATGCAGTTTTTTAATAAGCAGATGATAGGCGACACTGTCAAATGCTTTTCCCAATCAAGGAATATAGCATCGACGACCGGTGGGTTTTTGACATCCATAATTTACTCAAGTGGCTTGAGTAATACATGACCTACGGTACCCGGGTAAAACCCATGCTGAGAAGAACTGATAAACCCAAAGAACTGGAGATGAAATAGAATGTTGTCAGCAATGATACGTTCAAAGACTTTACTTATAATAGAACACAGCGATATGGGTCGATAATTTTTAATATCATTAGGGCTGTCTCTTATACACATCTAGATGTGTATAAGAGACAGCCCATAGGCCTATCCTAAAACAATGGAGGTCAAGGGCATCACGAGGACTTTATACTGGTCTATAAATCACTGTATCATCAGCATACTGCTTCATATGAAAAGTAGTATGAAAAAGCAAGTCGAAAACAAAGATATTAAATAAAAGTTGACCCAGGACTGGCCCTTGTGGAACGCCCGAGCCTAATCTGTTAATGAGGAATTAGTAAACGCATTTCAGCAGAGGTCCACATACTCCCATACTATGCAGTTTTTTAATAAGCAGATGATAGGTGACACTGTCAAATGCTTTTCCCAATCAAGGAATATAGCATCGACGACCGGTGGGTTTTTGACATCCATAATTTACTCAAGTGGCTTGAGTAATACATGACCTACGGTACCCGGGTAAAACCCATGCTGAGAAGAACTGATAAACCCAAAGAACTGGAGATGAAATAGAATGTTGTCAGCAATGATACGTTCAAGACATTACTTATAATAGAAAACAGCGATATGGGTCGATAATTTTTAATATCATTAGGGTTACCAGATTTAAATACAGGGGTGACATTTGCCTGTTTCCAATCTTTTGGAATAAAGCCATCAGTAAGGAATTTATTGAATATTCTGCACAGCACAGGAACAAAATTATATATAATTATATATATATATATATATATATATATATATGTGTGTGTGTGTGTGTGTGTATGTGTGTATGTATGTATGTATGTATGTATACACATCTAGATGTGTATAAGAGACAGACACTTACTAGAACTCTCAGCGTCTATATATGTGGGTACCACGTTTTCCCTTTCCATTCGTTAAGATGTATATATATATATATATATATATATATATATAGGCCCTATGTATATTTGAATGTTAGTAATTAATTCCTTCATTTAATATTATTATAGATTTTTTGTTGCTTAAAATGAGTATCTTTTGTTCTACCTCCTGTTCTTTTTTGTCTTCTGCTACTTTCACTTTTGTTCTTCTTTTCCTTCTCTTCCATTGCTTCGTCTTAATATGTTCAATCCTCTCCATGTTAGTTGTGGGGCGTAAAATTTGTCAATTCGATATTGTGAAATATTTTTCAAACCATGTTCCCATATAGGGAATTTATTCAAAACTCCAGGCCTCCGGCCCCTTGTAAAACAAATTACTATAAATTAAATAAACCATGTTCCATTCTATTGATTATCCTCAATTAACACAGTGTTAATTCTTATGTTTCAGTTATGAATATTAATAACAGACATATATCGATGCAGAGACGAAAAACAAAAAACATGTGGATGGTCAAATTGTTCAGCGCAGACCAACTATCACCTACATTTCTCGAACCGTTTATTCTGTCTGGGTACCGCGCTTGTGAAACGAACCTAACCGAGTGTTTGCAAAGTGCTTTACGACGTACCAATGAAACCTTGAATTTTTGGACGCACTTTATACCGTTTTTATACTTTTTGTGGCGTATGTTGCAACTGAGCTTCTGTCTTGATTTTGTCAATGACCCATTCACATGGCCGTTGCTTGGTCAACTCGTCTGCACTTGTTTATATTTATCAGCTAGTAGCTTTGCGCATCTTCTAAGCTGCCTCTCTGAACGGGCTCGCCATGTTTGTTTCTTCTTCGACTACTCATCCCTGGGTATGTACAGCTTCGGATGTTGTATTGCTTACAGGTGTTATTCTTTTCCACAAAATTTACTAAATACAGAGTTTTTCAATTTATACATCCCGATCGGCGTACTCAACGCAATATTAATGTGCAGCTGTGGTGCGTGCGGGTCGCGTTTCATGACTGAGAGTTTGTTCCGCCATTTATGTCGTCTTTCATCGTTCATGATCCCATATATTTTTTGTAGCCTACCACTATTATACCGCGTGACTGTCTGCCCAGATGACGAATGCGAAGCTGCATCAGTTGCTGTGCATCGATGGCAATTCGTTGCGGCATTCTTTACAGCGTTTATTTATGCAACTCATCTCCCCGAGAGGTTGGCACCCGGCAAGTTTGACATCTTCTTCCATAGTCACCAACTCTTCCACTTGACTGCATCCATTGCGACTATGCTACAAGTGAATGCTTTAATCATTGACATGAACGACCGACGCACTTTCCTTGAGACGGCAATCGGAGTGCCAACATTTTGGTATTCCCTCGGTTTACTCATGGTGGTTTTCTCCATAAAGATGTTTCTTGTGTTATGTTTTTCAATCTGTGTTTTTAGACATCCGGAACCAAAACACATATACAGACTTAACAATGGATATGTTCTCACTATGCAAAATGAATGTATTGAGAACTCGCATATATATACCAAAACTAAGTGGAACCAACTGCATGATGGAAGCAACACTGTATCAAACATGACTTGTATCAAGCCTAAAAATATATGCAACGCTGACAACAAATACAAAACGCTGCTGAAGACAAAAATAAAGTAATACTCAAAATAATTTTACTGCGTAGCACCGTAAACACGGAGGGGTTGATCCAGTGGAAAATGTAGGTAGGGCCACACGACGTGGTGAAGCACCTAACGGGGAATGGGGTCGTGGTTTTTTAGATTCTTGTTTAGAAATGCCTGATTATAAACACTGCTACATTGAATACAAGTTGAAAATTAGTTTGTTTTGAGTAAGCCTACGGTGCTGTGCTCCCATCTTTCTTATTTGCTTTCTTTTCTCCCTCTCATTTTTCTCTCTTTTTTATGGGAGCGGGTATCCAGAGGCAACACTCCTTCCACATCCCGATGCCTCTGGATATGCCATTGAACAAAATTAAACAAATAGATAAATAATAGTAATAGTGCTCAAATAGGAACATAATGTTATAAAGCATAATCCTTCCAAATAACCATCGGGAACATTGTATTACACAATGCTACGCCTCAAGAGGGCATTCGGCCAGATAAATCTGTTCAACCATGAAGCCTTCGTGGTCTAGTGGTTATGACGCTCGCCTTGTCAGCGAGAGATCGCAGGTTCGAATCCCGTCGGAGGCATTTTATTACACAATGACTTTCATAGGACTTTATTCGTTGAAAAGCTACAGGGTAGCCTACGATGTTCCATCATGTCCTTATTTAAACACTGTATATGTACCTTTGATGATTTATATTATATTTTTTATTCAACAGTGGTAACGGCTAACTCCCTTCAATATCATATATATATGTATATATATAATATATATATATACATATATATATATATAAATATATATATATATATATGTGTGTGTATGTGGGTTTTGTGTGCAGTATTATATATAAATAGCCTATATATGTTATACTATATTTCTGACGTTATATTGAGAATTATATTGCTGACGTTATATTAAGAGGTTCTGGTACCGGGTTACCGGGTAGCACAGACACGAAGGGATCCTTAGGGGCGAAGAAAGTTATTGATCGAGGTCCTAGTCCACATACCAAGTACCATGAGCATCTTACTTGATGGATACCGGTGCTATATAAAACTACACAATAATAATAATTATTATTATTATTTTATTAACTTTTGTTTGATCACAGGTGGGTATCAGCACCTGTTTACCAAATATATAATTAGACAGACTTGGTTTGATATAAATTTATTAGTTTTCAAATAGGCCTATTTCTTGTAAATAGAATTGTCTACTGACTAAAATAGATCAAAATCATGTCCCTAAAACCAAGGCAATTCAACAAAGGACGCATATCTCTGGACGTATTAAAGGATAACTATGGCATCGATATTCTACGCGCCGCGAGCCACTATATGCTGACCGTCACAAAATCTATAGTAACCATCAGTGTGTGACGAATTACCCACGTGCGTGTCAG